GGCGGGCGGCAAGCGGAGTAAGTGTTTCCTTGGCGCTCATATACCGCTGTTCGTCATGTTTTAGCCGTTCCGCCAGAGCTGCTGACTTGGCTCGCTGGGCTGAATGAATTGCATGCTCTATCGATATCGAGGGCCTGGACCGGTCATTCTGGTCGAGTATCTCCAGCGTTTGATCTGATGTGATTTTCCTCGACGTCTCCAGAGCCCCATTAGCCATTTGAGACAGGGATGGCACGGCAAAGCCACCCAGGCGTGTGGGAAGCTGAAGAACAGCCCATTCGTTGTCCGAAAATGCCTCCCTGCCAGTTACCGCAGGTATCAATACCGTGCGCATCATGTCATCCATCTGAGAGAGGCAATCGGCTGGAAAAGGTACTGTTCTGAGGAGGTAGGTCCACCGGCCGCGAAGACCATGTGTCAGGGCAGCATAGGCTGCATGCGGTTCCGTGCGCGCAACATCCGATAGTGCCTTTAGTTCCGCAATCCACTCGCCTACTCGCCGCCGCACATGCTCGGCAACAGCATCAGACTCGCCAATGTAGGAGCCTAGGTATTTCGTGGCGCCGGTCACGATACGTATGCCAGTACTAGCAAACATATTGTAGGCTTCCTCCTCCTGCTCGGGCTTCACGAGAAGAAGCGTTTTCTCCGGGTTGGTGTTGTATCCGTACAGCTTGCCTTGTTCCTCAACGCTGTCCCACCATCCACGGAGACGAGTCAACTGCCCACCCGCACCAGAATCATCTGCATACCACGTTTGCCGTACGGTAGGATGCACAACCTGCAGTGCCTGGACTAGAGGGAGCGTCGCTAAGGCGTAGAAGACCATGGACAACGGGTCACCTTGCGTAGTCCCCTCCTCGGACGAAATCTCACCACCACCTGCAACAAAGAGTCGAGCCGGGGTGTTATACGAATTTTTCAGTATTGTCGCAATAGGTGGACACAGGTGTTGTACATTGTGCAAAGCTGCTTGTCTGTTCAAGCAGTTGAAGGCATTACGTGCGTCTACCAAAAGAACAGCCTCGCAAGACTCATCATCATAAAGGCGTTGCATGGCATGAACAGCAGCTTCGATGCCCGCAGGAAGACCCGAGCACTTCTGTATGAAACCGCACGCTTCTTGAACATCTTGGTTGACAACTTTCAATATCGCTCTGGTAATGATGCGGCGCAGGACTTCCCCAACACCGATTGGGCGCACACCAGGCTTCTTGTCCAGAGCCACAAGTCGGCACGCGAGAAAGGGTACCAGGCCAGAGGGTGCAACGTTGGAACTCGCAAGGAGGTGCGCGAGTCCAGACAATGCATTGCACATATTTGTCGATGCGCCTTTAGATGAAGTGCACATCCTTCGCCAACAAGCCGAATCAAGACCAGACGGTCCAGCCGAGCCCTCGCAATGCAGCGACGTGTCTCGCAATAGTGAGGACGTGAGCGAGTCGAATCGGATTGGGTGGACGTTCTCCCGGGCACCCTGCAAGAGTACCTCCGGGGAGGCAGCCTGCGCTGCAGGGTGCTTCTCTTGCAATAGCTGGCGCACGGTTGCCTGAGAGCCATCAGAAGACGTCACCACGTCCTCAAGCTTCAATGTGCCGGCTGTGGATTCGGGCTGCAGACTTTTCAACGCCTCATTCACCCTGCCAGCAGTCATACAGTCGGCGAAACGTCGAGCCGCATCGTCCTGTCCGCGCTTCCTGTCGCCCGAGGCCCGACCCCCTGTGCTGCGCTGAAGAGAGCGACCTTCCTCCAGTAAAGACTGAATGTCGTTACTTTTCCAAAGCCGCATCCGCCTCTGTAGATGACCGCTGTTTTCCTTGTCTGTACATTTAGCTCCCGTCCGCTGCAGCGTGAGAACCGGCAGGATGGAAAAGTAGAATAGCGCATCGGTGTCGTCTCCGCCAGACTGAACATACTTGTTGATGTAGGAAGAGAGCTCATTAACAAGCTCCTTCCCAACAGAACCACATGGTATCTTGAAGAATGACTTCCTCCAGTGAACCACCTCGTCGTATATCTCCTGGGTCAGCGGAGTACTGGGTTCCATCAGGCCGGCTGTTGGGATGCCAGGCGCCTGTGCCGAAGACACTGGGCGTCCCCCACCAAGAGACCCGTCCCGTTGAGAAGCGCCCGAGCCCTCAACCCCCAGCAACGCGATGGGAGGTGCCGTGGCCAACAATGGTGGAATGTCTTGGCTTGATGATGTTGGTCCGTCGCCACTCACCGTCTCCATATCAATCAGGCTCACTGACGATGCCTTAGCTAACACAGGCACAGCACGAGTCGAGGACGATAATCTCGCAGGAGGTCCCCGGTCAGGCGCTGAGTGGTCGTCATCACTGCGGGGATGTGTGCGGGGATATGTCCGTCTGGTCCAAGCGGGAGGCTGACTGTGCCAATTAGCTGTGGGGTCAATGCCGCGATTGGCACTCGGTACACTTGATGCAGCGACCACTGGGACGTGCAGAGCACATCCAGAGGGTTGCGAAACGACACTGGTAGGATGACCTGCACCTTGACTACTATTATCGCCAGCGGGTCGGGAACTGTCATCAGCGGTCGATGCTGTGCCGCGATTCTTGCACGTCGATGGGGTATTGCGACTGGGGTAGCAATCTATACAGACGGTGTGAGAGGTCTTGCACGAGCACCTGGCACACTTTCCAATTACCGTACACTGACAGCAAGGCATTATCGGTAATGAACACCGCGCTTCCACAGTGCACTTGAAAGGTAGGTCGATTACGACCGCAAAGTGGTCGCTGATGGTACAAGGGAGAACCGTGCAGGAGGTTATCGCTCCATCCACAGCTAGGGCGAGATCCAGTGTTGTTCTGCTGCCGTGGGGGGCAATGCGGGTAGTGTCCTGCACCTTGTTGCTGATATTGAACTGGTCGCAGAAGCGATGTAAATTGTCGAGCTGAGGGGCTTGGCGCCGGCTTACGTCGACATTGAAGTCGCCCGTTAAAATCAGCGGGGACGATGCCATTGACGCCGCAGCTGTGTCAACTGCGTTGGACAAGTCCTGCCAAAATTGTACTGGCGTGCCTGGAGGTCGATACACTCCTCCTAGGAGAATCCGGTTTCGATGACTTCTGATCTCCAGTGGCAAAAGTTCTATGTTGGGTGGTCTCCCACCACTTGTGCTTGAAAGCGATTGTGGACATAGGCTGCTAGGCCACCTCCATGACTGGGATGATCCCTCCGTAAAAGTGCATGGTTAGGTATGCTGAGCAAGCTGTCTGCGGTAGAGCTAGATAGAAAGGTTTCCGCCAGTATCATGATATCAATGTTTTGAGATCGTATGAAATCCTCAACTTCATGCTTATTATTAAGAAGGTGGCACACATTGAGGAACCCTACTCTAAGATTAAGACTAAGGCCGTTGTTGCTGTTTGATAAAGGGGCTAAATTAGGGGTGTGTGGTCTAGGACGGAATGGGATTGCATTAGGGTTTAGTGGGGTGTCGGCATTCATGATGTGGCTGAAGCTGAAGCTATCTTGTCCAAGGCGAATCTCCACTCTCGTGCACGCACCTCCGCTGGCCAGAAGTCTTCCTGCACGGCTTCGTCGATTTGATTTGCTGGGATCACGACATGTGCGTACGCCAGTCCGAAGTACCGGGATTCTGACACACTGCACTTCATGACTGGCAGGTCTTTTTCTCGCACCAACCTACTATGGAATCAGCACTACAAGTACATCCCATGTGGACATTGCCAAGGTGAATTGCGCGGCATTTTATCCGAGGGGCTCCACGAAAACTTGCAGGAGCTTTAGGTTTGTGCTGATAATACGAGGTGACAGTGGACTGGCCTGGCTTGTGTGCTACTTCACGGCTGGCAGTGGTAGTCTTATTTGCCAACGTGCGTGCAGGGTTTCGCGGTTTTCTCCGTTCAACGTCCTCCCACTCAGGTTCGACCGGTACGGGATCACATGTTGGTTCGCGTGGTGTACTCGTGTCAGTTGTAACCCCTGAGCTGCAAGC